AACCCGGAGGGCCGCAACCGCCGACGCCAGCGAGGATAAGACCGCCTAGGATTTCCGATCTGCTCTAGGGTTTCCGTATTTTTATCTCGTTCGTCGCTATCGTTCTATCGTACCATTGTTCCGTTTGCGGAGCGGCCGCGTAAAGAGGAGATCGTCCTCGGGTCTTAATTGTCGCGTCCGAAGTATCGTGTCGAATCTCGTGGATTTTTGTGGGAAGCGTTTCGCGAACGCTAACAGGGCGTGCGAGAGTTGCGCCAAATAAATTATTAATATCGACAAAGCTTTGAATCGTCTTCTCACCTCCTGAACTCATTCCGTCCCCGATTTAAAGAACGCGGAGCTGCCGATCCCGACGGTTCTCGGATCACGTGAATTTTCGGCGGCTATCACGTTTCGCGTGTATCAAGGTGGTGCAGGCTTTTCCGCACCTGACGTCCAATTTCCCGTTTTCGCGTTGCAGTGTGATGCGAGACCCACGGCAATTTGCCGACGCGGCGGACAGGCGACTGTTATTCAATCGTGTTTCAATCCTCGCGATTATCGTCGCAATATATATACATACACACACACACACAATGAATAACAATTATATTCATGTAATAGATTATATTTCATTATACAGAATGAGATACTTTGTACAACATCCAGATATTATACCCCAGCAAACAAGGTGACATCAAATGACATTATTGACGTTAGAGACGTCAATACGTTATTAAGACGTCATTTGACGTCATCTTGTTTGCTGGGACAAGATATTATAGAAATGTAGATTAATATACTTTACATCATTCATTTGCTGATTTGTTTGGTCCATAAGGACCATTTAATTTCATTGTTAATTATTCCCATAGTCCATCCTATATAATATATATGTATATGTATAATGGTTGTGAGTCATAATGTATATATTTATTAATGATTATGAAATTACTTATTACTTCATTCCCAGATAGCACAATGTCCAAAATCGGATCATAAGATGTCTTTAAAACATCTTTAAGACATCTTTAAGACAAGTTTATAAG